AAAAAAAAAAAAAAAGAAAGAAAGAAAAACATTTACTCCACTGTACACTGCCATTTTCTTCACGGCATTATCCCCACAAACTAAACTTGGACTAACAGGTCTCTGATTTCACTTCCATTCCTGCCAAGTTTAACAAGGAATTTAATGTTTGTTCACTGTTCTAATTCAAAGTCCGACATTCTCTTGACAGCATATGAAAACACACAATAATAATGAACACAATTCATTAAGATACCACCACACATTGACATGAACACAGTTATGAAGACACTGATATACCACGGTTATGAGACCTTACCAAGTTGATTGTACAGTGCTGCCAATGTAAATGTAAGGTGGCAAGTTCATGAATTTAATTGTCAGACCTTGTATGTCAGTGTAGCAAAATTGCACTTGTTACCTCATGAATATATACAAATAAAAAATAAATGAAAAAATACTGCTAAGCTACAGTAATCAAACAGTGTGGTACTGACATAAGACAAACATAAACCAATGAAATAGGATAGTGGATTTAGAAATAAATCCTCACTTATGCAGTTAATTGATTTGGGGGAAGGGTGTTAATTCAATGGGGAAAAGGACAGTCTATTAAACAAACAATGGTGGGAAAACTGGATACCCACATGCAACGGAATGAAGTTGGACTCTTATCCAGGAGTCCTCAAACTTATGGCCCACCGGCCACATGCGGCCCACCTAGGACATTTATCTGGCCCGCCGGTGTTTTTGCCGCCGCTGCCTGTCCTGCTTAGCAGCCAATTCTCCCTGGGCCCATAGTCTGTCCCTCCAACTGAGGGACAGTGAACTGGCCCCCTGTTTAAAAAGTTTGAGGACCCAGTATACCATGTACCAAAATTAATTTAAGATAGATAAGGTACAGTCATATTCATGACAGCATTATTCACAATAGCCCAAAGATGGATGCCACTCAAGTGTCTTTGAAAGATGAATGGATAAATAAAATGTGTATACATGCAATAGAATATTACCCAGCCCTTAAAAGAAAGAACATTCTGTACTAAAGCAGGGATGACCCATTAGGGTATTATGCTGAGTAAAACAAGCCAGTCACAAAAAGGCAAAAATTGTGTGATTTCACTTCCATGAAGTACTTAGTGTAATCATATGTATAGTCAGAAAGTAGAATGTTCCTTGCCAGGGGCTGGCAGGGAGAGAGAAATGGGATTATTGTTTAATCATAATTGAG